TTTTTTATAATTTTCTTTGTACGGCTCTTTTGTGTCCCTGGTAAGATTTATTCCCAAGTATTTTATTTTTTTGGTAGCTATTGAGAATGGTATTGATTTCCTTATTTCTTTTTCAGCAATGTCTTTGCTGGTGTAGAGGAATCCAACTGATGTTTGGATGTTGATCTTGTGACCTGCCACGATGCTAAATCTCTTTTGAGTCATTTCTTTATGTAGTGAGTTTAAATAATTGATCATTCATTCTTTCATTCATCCAGTATTCTTGAGTATATTCTAAATGCTTAATGATGGTGATAACAGAGATAACCACAATCTAGTGGGAGAACCAGACATGGAGAAATTATAGTTCATCTTGTGTAGAAGTTTTTCCTGAGTGTGCCTCTTTTCTCATACGTGGTTTTCATATCCAGAGTGTATAACAACACATCTTTCTTTAAAATAATATTTAAAATCACTTGTCCTGGGCTGTGTGCTGTTCTTGAAACCCTATCCATACATGCTTAGTTCTTGGTTTCTGGCAAGGGGCCTGAAACTGTGTGAAGCCAAGAGAATGAAGCTGTACTTCCCACCCTTGGTCCAGGAGGTTGTGGCTGAAAAGTTACTCCATGCTAGTGGCAGGCCAATGACAAAGCATTTGTATCTAGTCAAAAAATTCTGTTGAATGCACCTTAGTGTAGATCCAGAATCCAGCCTCTTCTCACCATCTCTGCTGCCAGCACTCTGGTCCAAGTTACTGTCTCTTTCTCTCCTGACTTATTGGAGTAATCTCCTAATTGTTCTTCTATTCTGGCCATTGACACCCTTCTCACCTCTAAATTTATTCTCAACACTGCAGCCAGAATGATCCTGGTAAAATGTCAGTCTAAAACCCTCCAGCAGGTTCCCATTTCACTTAGAGTGGAAGCAAAAATCCTTATCAGGGCCTGCAAACTCCTTTGTGATCTCTGACCTCTCTGCCATTTACTCCTAACTCATCTCTCTCCAGCCAGATTGAACACACAGGATTTGCATTTATCCGCTCTGGCCAGAATGCCTTTTCCATCAGATACCTATAATATTGCTCTTTCATGTCCTTCATGTATTTATTCAAATGTCACACCTTCTTGTGAGAACTTTCCTGGCTTCTCCACTTTGGATTTGTACTCCATTCCTCCAGTACTGTATGACATTTATCACTATGTAATATACTATAAAGTTCACTTATTTACCTTGTTTATAGGCTAATTATTTCTTAATTAGAATATAAATTCCATGAGTGTAGGGAATTTTTTTTTTCATGTTTTGTCCTTCACTGCACCTTCTATGCCTAGTGTACACATGGTTAGCATTCAGTGTGTTTTTGTGGAATTAATAGGTTAATTTTATTCCCATTTCTCAGAGTTAGTAAGGGAGACTCTGTGAGAGTATACAGTTTGTCTAATGTCAGTCAGCTTGTAAGTAACAAAGTTGAGATTAAAATTCTGGTTTATCTGACACAAAGTGTAGGTCCTTACTTCCTATGCATACAGCTACTCTGAAGCAAGCCATTGATATATTTCCCTTTCTCTCATATTTGTACGGGCCTTTAAAAATTA